AATACAGGAGGCTAAAAGCAAAGGAAGACATGTCTCATCCAGTTGTCCTGAGCCTGGTTTGGTAAGACTGGCAGGCACTGTGAACAACACCAGCAAAACTATGATAGTGCAGGAGTAGGGAGCCCTTGAAAGTCTGTGTGTATTATCTCCACTATCTGGGGAAAGGAAAACCTTGAGACTGTGTATTCATTCCAAGACCTGGAAGAGGGGAAGGGAGAGGGTACACAGTGCCCAAAGAAAAAGCCCATAAAACAACTTAGGTTAGTTGCCTGCCTCCTATCATGTTTGCAAAATGAACAAATGAGGTCTGGAGCAAGATAAGGATTTGGGCTAACAGACCCCCACACATACCTATGTTTGTGTAGTCACATCTACCCAGGGGAAGCTGGGACCACCTTCGCATGTCAATCAATATGTAAACTTCACCCCCGTCCCTCCAACTATGTAAGTCCTCAGAACAAAGGACTCTCTCCCTTGGCTCTCCTGCCACATGGGTGACTCCTGGCCACCTGGCCTCTGGCCACCCTGCTCCTGCCCCCCTGCTTTTGCCACTCTTGTTTCTGCTTTCCCATTAGAACTTAACACTAATAAGCTTTGTTTGCACACTAATAGGCTTGCTGTTCTGTAATTCTTTACTAAGTCAACAAGAAGAACTGAGTTCCTAGGAGTTTCTCTCACAACAGAATGAATACAAGGGGGACTATCAGTAATTAAGTCAGGGGAGCCAGAGAGTATTTGTAATTAATAGTCAGAAGATGGCAAGATTCACAGGTCTTAAAGAAGGCACCCTGGAGAAGCTGGTATGAAGAATGGGCTGAATTTGATGATTTGGAAGCAAAGGAAGTACAAAAAAATGAGAGGAAGAATGAGGAGTGGGTCAGTGAGAAACTCAGATATGAAGACAGGACATGGGGAGCCCTAATTTCTGAGAATCCCTACTCACCCCAATAGGAGACCCAGAAAAGACATTAGAGACAGAGGGAGAAGCCTGCTTCCATGGGGGCCAGGGAACTCATGGAAGTCACTAACAGGGACAGAGGCTAAATAAAAGTGGGTGACAAAGGATTATAAAGAAAATACATTCTGCCCTAGCTGCTGTGGCTCAGTGGTTGAGCCCCATCCTGTGAACCAGGGGTTTGCCAGTTCGATTTCCAGTCAGGGCACATGCCTGGGTTGCAGGCCAGGTCCCTGGTGGAGGGCATTTGAGAGGCAACCACACATTGATGTTTCTCTCCTTCTCTTTCTCCCCCTTTTCCCCTCTCTAAAAATGAATAAATAAAATTTTAAAAAGAAAATACATTCCTCCCTGGCCTTAAGCAAATCACTTCACCAGACCCTGAGCCTCTGTTCCTTCACCTGTGAGGTTGTGCAGATAAAGCCTGCCCTGCAATAAATATGTGCCCAGCAAACTTGAATGTTTTGTCTTCCTAGTAAAGAAGGGTTTGGTTGGCAATGGTCCAGTCTTGGATGCTGGTCAGATAAATCCAAAGCCAATGAAAGGCTGAGTTATATCTAGGACCCTAGACCATTGGGGTTTAAAGAAACTGTAGCAATCAGTCACCTTTCAACTGCCACTTCCTGAGTTGCGAAACTATAGCTACACTTTGTGCTTGCATCTTTTGTTTATAGAATAAATAATTCTGCATCTGTGCCCCAGTGCACAGCCAATGGCCAGCTGTGTAGACTTAGGCAAAGCATGCCATCTCTCTGATCCTAGGTTTCCCCATATGTAAAATGGGGCCAGGAATAATCCCCATGTCAGAAGGTTGTCCCTCAAGACTCAAGATGCAGTAACGTGAATAAAAATGCTTTGTACTCTGTAGACTGTGCATTGTGCAAGCAGTTCTGTTCCTCCTCAGATCACTGGGCATATTTCTCTGGGACAAGGCAGCCTCCTGTGGCCACAATGGGTGTTTCTTCTCTGCTCAGCAAGCATCTATTGAGCACCTCTTATGTGCTCCATGTTTAATTACTAAAAACCCATGGGACATAACCCTGCCTACAAAGAGCTCAGCCTGGGTACAGAACAGTACAAATGGAGGAAACATGGTGCTCTACAGTCTGGATCAAAATGAGTGGTCTCAAGTGTGGAGGCCTGAGGAAAACCATAGGAAAGATGGGCTTGAGCCAACCATGGAGACTAAATGTGGTTGGATGGGTGGGTGGGGGCAGGGGATAAAGGGCATTCCAGGTAGGAAAGGAGCCATGGCAAAGGCAGCAAAGAGAACAGGGAGGCAGAGGAACTAGAAATAGCCAGCCCATAGCACTGCTGGCTTTCATGACTACCTCCTGGCTCTTGGGCCAGTGGCATAAATAGAAGAAGGTTCTGGGGAGGCCTGTCATGGCCATGGGTCTGAGTGCCTAGCCAGTGTCCAGCCCACCAGACCTGTAGCCAGATTTCTGGGTGTCTGTTCCCTAATCATTTCAGAATGAGTTGAAGTAGGCCCTCAATAGAAACCTGTAAAAGCCTAGGGTGGAGTTAGGGGCCCAAGGGTAAAGAAAGCCAGTAGGACTGTGGAAGTCAGGACAATGAGGGGGAGGCAGAGGGGACAGGGAACACGTCAGAGGGCCCTAAAAGAGGAAGCAGCCCAGTCTCAGTTCCGCTCCCAAGGATGGGAAATACCCTCTATTCTCCCAGCCCTCAACAGCTGTCCCTGTCTCTTTACCTGAAGTCACCAACCCTGGGGCCAGGACGACCTGGGCTCTGTGCCCCATCCTTTCATGTTTCTCCAAGGTTGCTGAGTCCTAAGCATTTCCAGGGGCCTGGAGCAGTCCCGCATGGGTACAGACTCAGGATCCATGCTGAGCAGGGCATAGTTGAAATTTTATTGAAGCTGGACACCCCATGGATTAGGAATGGGACCCAGCCCTCAGAACTGAAATCCAAAGAAGGGTACCAAAGTCAGCCCCTCCCTCCTCACCCTTCCTCTCCCATTGTGCCTTCAGGAAGGGAGGGATTCAAAGCCAATGGGGCTCTTCCTCATCCCCACTTATTCAGGGACAGAAAAGTTGGAGCTCAGATGAAGACTTCCAACTGCAGAGATTGGTTTATTAAGTCTGAGCCTGGCTACACTGGGAGAATGGCCCTCAGACCCTGACGGGGAGCAAGAGGGTAGTAGCTGGTAAGTCACCTCTCCTTCCCTGCTTCCTATACAATCTGCTGTGACCCAAAGCAAGAACAGGAAAGAGAAGATAGGAAGACAAATATTATGACTTCTCTCCTCCTCACCTATCCCTGTCCTGGGCTTCTGAACCTTGTTGGCCTTTTTGTTGGGACATCAGCAAGGAAGCCATGGCTGGAATTTCTAACTGCAGGTTGCGGCAGTGTCAAGCCTACTGTATTCACAGCTTCCCCAGGAACTCAGTTTCCCTGGATTGAAAAACTCCACATTAAGAAACAACCTATTAAGATGGCATCCCAGGGCAGGCTCATTCTCAGCAGGGCAGAGACTGGAGGAAGTAGTGACTCACAAGGCAAACTGTTCTGCTATCTACCAGGCTGCACTTGGTTCCTGACTTCCCTTGTGCATTCTCTGTTTTTTTTATGTCTGGCCTGGGTTCCTCCCCCCAACTCTACCATTTCTGGTCTAACTTCCCCATCTCAGGGCAGGCCTTGCACAGGAAATGCAGAACACCAGGAGTCAGAGCTCTCTCACCCCATGCTTACCCCATTGCAAGAGACTAAAAACAAGAACATGTTCTAGACTGTTATCAGCCCTGTTGTCAAAATTGTCTTGGTGGCACTGAGACTGGTAAGCAGCAAGGAAAACAGAACCAGGTGGTGGACAGTGTCTGGAATTCCCATATCATTCCCATATCACCTCCATTCCCATATCATTTTGTCTATTGAAGATAGGACAAGTTTTCCCTGGTGTCAGCCCTGCAAAGGGAAGTGGTCTCCTGTAGCATTCCAGGTAGAGCTCCCCTCTGGTCTCCAGGTCCAGCCCACACTGGGCTGAGCTGGGGAGGGCTTTGCCTTTCAGGATACATAGAACTCCCCACACAGGCTCAGGGACCTCCTGGGGACCAGTCCTTCCTCCCTAGGGAATGGCTGCCTCTTTTACTCCTGTGAGAAAGCCACTGCTACTCTGCTGGACTCTGTCCCCAGAGGCATGACTCTCCTGGACCTTTTATGCCACGGGAGGGTGGTATGCCCAGAAAAGTTGTTGTCCACAAACCAAGGAAGATAAAGGCAGCCTGAGGGAGCCCAGGAGGTACCGGTGCTGACCCAGGAGTCTCCTCCTACAGAAAAAGAAAAGGGAGGCTGACAAAGTGATGAGGCTTGGTAAGGATTCCTTTATATTGTCATATCTTCCCCAGCTTCTCCTGAGCAAGAGGAGAGTGGCAGAGGGAGGAACACCTGGAGAAGTTGAGTGTGGTGGTCTGTGGGGGGCAGGGGGAGAGATGACAGAGAAACTGAGGGTCCACAAGGGACTGCTGGAGAGAGAAAATGTTTGGATTGAGAAGAAGCAACTGGGATGTGGAGAAGGGATGAGCTTGAAGGCAGGGGAAAGAAGGTATGACCAAAGAGTCAGCCATCCATGAAGCCAGCCCATGGTTCCTGGGCTTAGAAACTTCAGAAATGAAGATCTGGAGTGATGCTTCTTGAACAGAGTAGGCATCTGGAGCCTTAATCTCAGAGCAAAAGGTTGAGACATAAGTTCTACTTTAGAAGGGTCTGTCTGATTAGAAATAGAACCTCCCCAGGAAAGAAAGGCAGGGCATGGATTAGATGGACAACTGCCAAAGAAACAGCCCAGTGCTGGCAGGAGGTGGGGATAGCATGACCCTGAGCCTTCATTTCTGAGATCATCTTCTACAGCAACCACCCCCAAGAAGGTATAGGATGAACCAAATTATCACTTTGCGTTCCAAGCAGACCTTGGTGCTAGGCTTGCATGCCTGGACTGTCTGAAAAGTTTACTGGGACATCACTCAGGAGCTCACCAACCTTTCACTCACCTCTCATGGGCTCCAAAAACCTGGATGCTGCCCCCACATCAGACTAACCTATTGGAGAATCTCAGGTAGCCTGGACTGCTGATGTGGCCACTGATGGTAAAGGGTAGACCCATCTCCAGCTCCTTTGAGTTCCTGAGAAAGAATATCCAATCAGGTTATTGGGGCTGAGAACCTAGCTTCTTTCTGAACCAGGACATGGAAAGAAGTTCCTGGCAGTGGCTCAGTGACTTACCTTCCAGAATAGAAGCTACCCCATCTCTCAGAAGCAGATAAGGAGCAGGCCTGCCCTGTGGCAGAGAGGACAAGATGACTTATCCCAAGAGGATTTTCTGACTATTGTTCCCTGAATCCCTGATTGTCTTCATTTGCTCCTCTCAACACCACACTATGCTTGAGATTACATTATTTGTAATTAGACCTAGACAGTGAAATACCTGGAGACAGAGACTATGCTTAGTTATCTTTGTACCCTTAGAAACTAATACCACAATACCTGCCATAATAAATCCTTCCTGAATAAATGATGAGTAGATGAATGAATGAATGAATGAATGAATGTTAAGGGAATCACTGTCATCAGGGTCTTACATGATCTTATCCATGTACAAAGTTTTCATTCACTTTCTAAAAATTCTAAATAGCCCCTGGCTCCTTCTGTTTCTCTTGTTTGCTTAGGGGAAGGGGAGGAGACAGGGAAGGGAAGCAGTAAGCTTTGGTTTCATATCTGATCCTTTCTCAAGCATACTAACCTTCCACCCCCACCTTACCCAGACCTGCGCTGAATCTACTCACCGAATTTGATACAAGTTGAAGACAAAATTAGGTCCTAGGGAGACAATCCAAAAAGAGAGGATTAGAATATCCAGGGAAAGCTGCCCATCACCCCTCTGGGAGCATCTGGTGCTCCCTTACCCCTGTCTGGGAGGAGTGGAGTGGCTGGTTGGGCCTCAGGATACTGTGGGTAAGTCCCAAGTTCCTGAACTTTCTGCCTCCTGCCCCATACCCCATCTTCCCAGACTGAATCACCAACTTTTTCAGGACATATGCTGCCACTGGGTATTTCTCTTCTAAGGGTATTGATTACCCTGGGAAGAAAGCAGTCCTAGCTTGGAACCCCAAAGAAGCAGATCTGGGCTTCAGTCCAGACTCTACCATTTTTCAACCCTGACTTTAGCCTCACATTTTCATCTATAAAAACAGAGACTAAGAATTTTGTTCTTGCATGGACTTTTAAAGAAAATCATATTATGAAAATGGGCATTGGCACATAGCAGGTGTTTAACAAGCATTTGTGGAAGCTGTTGAAGTTAATTGCAGATCTGGGAAATGTTCTCTACCTCTCGGCATTTCAGCAGGCCCTCCCAGCTCTCCTGGATCCTAAGAAAAGTGCAGCTGTGGGTCAGAGTTGGGCATATCACACCAAATTCCAGGAACCTCCCACTAAAGCTAAAGCATCAGCAAGCTTAGGAGAGGACCCCAACCCACAATCGGGGAAGAGATATACAGGGAGCCAGAGCCAGGGACACCTGGAGCTTGGCCAGTCTAGGCTGTTGCCTGTGGCCTGGAGGCCCATACAGGCCTTAAGGATGAACTCCTGTGAGCTCTGAGAGAAAAGGAACCTGGCTGCTTGGGGTGGGAGGAGTTCCCACTCCCTTGATAAAGGTGCTAGTACCCTACCCCCACCACCTCAAGTGCTCATCCACCTACCCAAGTCTTCAACCACTGCAGCCACCACAGGAAACATTTTTGCATGGCACCATGCTGAAGAGTTTGCAGCCCCACCCAATTCCCCAACTGCTACAGGAGAGGAGGGATTTGGCAGAAGTGGGCTACAGAGTCAAGTGTTCACTCACCATCCCAGCAGTACCCATGCTGGTACCATTTGGCCAGGCTGTAGCCCAGGACAAACACAAGCAGCAGTGATAACCCCATGCCAAGGATCAGACCCAGGGTGCTGATGGAATCCTCACCTGCAGAGACACAGCATATTTCACCCAGCTGCCCAGAGCCCTCTCAAAGCCCCTACACCAACTAACCATGTCTCATTGTTATTGCCTCCCTCCCCATTGCCATCAAAATGACTGGCCCTTGAGACTCTTGATCTGAGCTAGCTAGTTCAGCTAAGTCATACTAAGATATGAATGTCAGATACCTGATTTTTTACAGTCAGCTTGTTTATCCAAAGCAACAATCCACTGACAGTAGAAACAGTTTGACACTGAAAGGCCTTTCCAAAGCCACAGACATTCTAGTTGATAGAACAGGCGCTAATGGTTGGGGAAGAATCCAGGAGGTCACTCCTCAGCATGAAGGCTGCTGATCATGAAGGGAAGCTTGGAGGGCCCTAAGAGCAGAAACCTAAAGATCCTCAGTAGCCTCCTCACAAAGCCCACATACCCTGTGTCAGGGTGTTAACTACTCTTGGGCTCTGTTTGCTACTTATACTCATCACTTCTTCCCTTTATGTGGTATGAACTTCTAGCTAAATTCATATTTTATTTGTAAAGCCAAACCAAGAGAGAGAAGAAGAGAAAGAGAGGGGGAGACACAGACAGACAGATGAGGGAGGGAAGGAGCGAGACAGAGAAAGAAAAAAAACATTCAGAGAGATGAGATGGGCTCTAAGAAATGGCAGAGAGGGAAATCAAGTTTGCAGGAAAGGACTGACATGGGCGTATCATGGAGACAAAGTATCCACCCAAGAAGGGAAGGAAGAAGAAGGCCAGCCCCACCCCTACCATATGGCATACCAGAGTGTGGGAGAATAAACTGATGCTCCATCTCCATGGCCCCATGTGTGTGGGGGGCTCCAGGGTGTTGCTGAGAGCCTAGGAGGTACAGTGAGTAAGTACTACCTTTGGCACAGCAGGCTTGTGTCCAAATCCCAGGTCCACCATTTGCAAAATGTGGACCAAAGCAAATCCCTTTCCCTCACTGGAGTTCAATTTGTTCTTATGAAAATAAGCATAATAATAAATATACAGTCCATGTGATGATTAGTGGAGATGCCATATAGAAAGAGCACTTAGGAGAGGAACTGACATACACTAAGTGCTTAATTGACATTAATTATATCATCATTGTTGCTTTTAATACATTATCTAATAGTACAATTGTATTTTCAAAATACTTTGCAATACCCCCAACCCACGCCTTTCCCTCACCCATGCCCCTTGGCCCTTCTTCCCATTAAAGCAGCCAGGTTATTATCTCCTCATTAAAGAGTATGTGAGAGCAGAATGCAGAAAAAATAGGTCTCTCTTATAGTTTTAGATTACAAAAGCCCAGGCCATTAGATAAATGGAAAGGATTCACAACATAGACAAGTGAGCAAAGAAAGCTTACCCTCCTAGCCATATCAGGAAAAAATTCTCCAGCCTGGGGATGGACGGAGAAAGATAGATGAAGAAAAAGCACTGGGAAACACTGAAAAGATGTCACTGGGTCCCAGGGAGAATCCTCATTCTCTGATTCTAAGCTGAGCCCCAGGGAGGCAATAGAATTCCCAGGCAGAGCTGTGGATCTGAGAGCTGAACTGAGCTCCAGAAAGACAAGACTACAGTAAGAATAGTTGAGTGGAACTCCTTGGCAAACAGAGCCTCAGACAGCCTTGAAGAATTGCTGTACTCTCTCATGGCATGGAAATAACCAAATGATTTGTGTCCCTAGGAAAGCAGGGAAGTCCCAGAGAGGCCCTCCAGACCTGAAGGAATCACACAGCAAGGGTCTAGGCTCACCTCTGCAGCACTCTGTATGGCTGATGCTCAAAGCCCAGTCCAGTGGATGGCCGTCACTGGGGATGCACCATGGGTGCCAGTGTGAGCAGAGGGCATCAGGGATCAGGCATCCTCCCCAACTCCTTAGTTCCCAAGAAAAATGGGAGAATCCCCCAAACCACTAATGGCATCTTCTCTGTGCCAGGCACTGTTCTAGACACTTGTGGCAATAAATGCAACAACAACAACAAAATAAATCCTTGTCCTCATGGAGATGATATTCCCAGTGGAGACAGATAACAACAAAATAAATTATATGGTATATTGGAAGATGATACATGCTAGAGAGAAAGAAATAAAGCAGAGGAAGAGATGGAAAGCATGGTGGGAATGAGAATATAGTTTTAAATAAAGCAGTCAGGGAAGCCCCTATGAAGAATGAGACAATGGAGGAGAAAGCCCTAAAGGAAGTGAGAGAGAGAACACACCATGGAGATAGCTACAGTAAAAATGTTCTAGGCAGAGGGAGCTGTAGGTGAAACTAAGGCAGAACATGCCAAGCACATTCCCAAAGCATCAAGGAGCCCTGAGTGATGAGTAGTGGCAAGGGATGAGGGCAAGCAACCAGAAATGAGGGAACAGGAGCCAGATAACATAGTGCTTGAAAGCAATAAGGGCAGTTTTGTTTTTTGTATGAGCAAGATGGAGAGGATTTTGAGTAGAGAAGTAACATGATCCAATGTTTTAAAAAGATCATTCTCATAGTTACTGTGTTAGAATAGATGGGGTAAGGGACAATGATGAAGCAGGGAGACCAGTCAGAAAGCTACTGTGAAATCCAAGCAAGAGATGACCATTATCCCTGACAGGTTTGGCTCAGTGGGTTGGGTGTCATTCTGTAAGCTAAAAGGTCACTGGTTCTGTTTCTGGTCACGGCATATGCCCAGATTGTGGGCCAGGTCCTCAGTTGGAAGCATGAAGGAGGCAACTGATCGATATTTTTCTCACACATCAATGTTTTCCTTCTTCTCTTTCTCCCACCTCCCTCTCTCTCTAAAAATAAATATTTAAAAAATCTTTAGAAACAGAGAGATGATCATTGGAGGGAAGTAGTGCAAGAAACCAAGAGGCCAAAGTCAGGGAAAGATCATTTATGTGGATAATGGAGAGCGTAACAGTGACCCAAGAGCTCAAGAACTCAGGATAGTGACCCAGCCATGAATGGACAGATGACTCAAACAGGTGTGGTAATGATGTTATTGGTGTTTGTGGGAGCTGAGGTTTTGAAGGGTTTCATAAAGAAAAGTCTCTTTGGGAATAAAAAGTACCAGCAGGGGACTCACAGGCCTTCTGGAGATCCAGCTGGTGAGGGAAGGAGATGCATTACCTCTGCTTGCTACCATTTTCCCCTCCCCCAAAAGTGCTTTCTGTCCTAGGCAGCTTGCAGACACAATTGCTCTATTTTATCTATTTATCTTCCTAGGATGCTCCTTTAACTAATATTATTTAGTCTCCTTTTTGTATACCTTTAAATTTTTATTATAAAATATTTGATGCACACAAGAAGTACATAGAATGACATGATGAACATCTATGTGCCTACTATTAATCTTCAGAGAATTCTAAAATTTTGCTATTCTTGCTTTATAGGCATGTATCTCAATTTCAGAGTAGTCCTCTTCTACCTCTCCCTCTAAGTAACTATTCTCCCAAATTTGGTGTTAGCTTCTCTATTCATGTTTTTATACTGTTATCTCATTTTCTCCTCATAAGGTATACATGCAAGATCTGTCCAGAAAAAGTCCAACAATTACTAATATAATGAGAGTGGTTTGTGCAACATCAAAGTAACCTGGCAGCCAAGGATAGTGGAATGGGATGAGCATGAATGAACAATGACAACTTCACTGTACTAGTCAGTGGGGGTGGTAGACACTGTTGAGTGAGCATGTGTATTGTGTGGCTGTCACATTCAAAATGATGAGCAAGTAGAGCAACAAATCTGCATCAAATTTTATGTTAAGCTTGAACATTCCTCCATGGAAACTATTTGGATGATTCAGAGGGCCAAGCTATGGGCAACCGGTGATTGACAGCTTCATCATGACAACACACCCACTCATGCATCACATCTCATGCAGAGTTCTTGGTGAAACATCAAATCACCCAGGTGACTCAGCCCTTCTATAGCCCAGATTTGGTGCTCTTCCCAAAACTAAAAACACCTTTGAAAGGGAAGTGATTTCAGACCATCGATGAGATTCAGAAAAATACCATGGGGCAGCTCATGGCGATTGCAAGAACTGTGTGAGGTCCCAAGATGCCTACTTTGAAGAGGACTGAGGCATCATTGTCCTATGTGCAATGTTTCTTGTATCTTGTATCTTCTTCAATAAGTGCCTCTATTTTTAATAGTATAAAATGGATACTTTCTGGACAGACTATATATATTAAAAATTTGATTTACATGTTTTCATTTGTTTTCAAATTTTATATAAATGATACTAGGTTTACTAATCACTGCTAGAACATGAATCTACCTGGAATTCATTTTTGTATAAGGGAAATTACAAAATACTTAAAACTGAATAATCCTGAAAACACAACATTTCAAAAAATGTGGGTTGAGGAGACAGTCCAGGGAGATGAAGGCAGTGCAAATTCACAGGACAGAGATGAAAACTTCACAAAGAGAGAAGCCCACAGACGTGCAGAGTGTCCCCCACAAGGATGAGTCAGTGCATGTGAGAGAATCTGAAAGGATTAATGGGAACAGTGTCTAACATTCAAAGAGGGCTAAGAGTAAGACCTGTTCCCATAGGCCATACTGGAGAAACTCAAACTTCACAGGGCACTGGACAGAGAGCTCAGGAAAGCGTTGCCTCAATAGTGGGGAGCAGGAAGCCCCAGACTGAGCCCACCTAACAAATCATAAAACTAAGACCAGAAGGATGAAACGGCTTCCAACAAACTAACTGCTTCACAGAATATTGATAGGAAAACAAAAATATCCAGCACCCAACAAGGTAAAATTCACAAGGTCCAGCATTCAATCAAAACTACCAGGCATGCAGAGACACATGACCCATAATAAGGAAGATAATTACTATTGAAACCAACCCAGAACTGACAGGGATGTTACAACTGGTAAAGAAAGACATTAAAGTAGTTGTTATAACTCTATTTTATATGTTCAAAAATTAGACAGAGGCATTCAAGATATAAAAGAGGCCCAAATCATATTTCTACAAATGAAAACCACAATGTTTGGGATTAAAAGTACTTTGGATGTGATTAACAGCAGATTAGACATTATAGAAGAAAAAAAGTGGTGCACATGGAGACATAGCGATAGAAACTATCCAAAATTGAATACAGAGGAAAAATTAATAAAGCAAATGAAAAGAGCAACCTAGTGCATGTATAATTAGAGTCCTCAAAGGAGAAAGGGAGGACAGAAAAAATATTTAAAGGGATATGCCCAAAAATTTTCCAAGTTATACATTCAAACAATATATTTCCACCCTGGCCGGTGTGGCTCAGTGGATTGAGTGCTGGCCTGTGGACCAAAAGGTCACTGGTTCAATTCCCACTCAGGGCACATGCCTGGGTTGTGGGCCAGGCCCCCAGTTGGGGGCATGCAAGAGGCATCTGATTGATGTTTCTCTCACACATCAACGTTTCTCTCCCTCTCCTTCTCTCTCTTTTCCCCTCTCTCTAAAAATAAATCAATTATATATATATATATATATATATATATATATATATATATATATATATATATATTTCCTTTCCTACAAGGAATTCTGGTGCCAATGGTTGATAACATAACTGACTTTCTTTTTCATTACATCACAGAAAGCCTAGACTGCCTTAGGAAAGAAAGGATTACATTTCCTTCAACCAACTCTCCATAAGACTCACCTTTTTCAACAAAACTGTATAAGTAAATTAGAAAGTGTTCAGGACAATGGTATGGTCTCTGGTAAGAGCTTGGGGTGTATTTATTTTTATTGCTTATAATGACAAATATTTAGAACTAAACAAAGCAGATGGATAAGTTAAGGTGTGCTTTCTTAGCAGAAATTGGGCAGCTGAACTCTTTCTCTTCTGTGCCATGCCTATGCTGAAGTGGGACACTCTTCAGACACAGCCACCCTTCCTCAGAAACAGGTTTAGAA